AAATATGAAAAATTAAGTAGTTCTTATATTTTTTTTAACTATATTATTACTTCATTTATTATTTTTTTAGAAAATAATTCATTAGAGTTTTAATTGTTATTACAAAGACACACTTATATTGGGCATTCAATTAGGGTATGATGGAAATGATATACATTTGTTTAATTGAAACCTAAATTTTCTTTAAAAAAACCTTAATCTTTTTTTTTTAATTACGGTCAAGTAGCTAGCTGTCATCTTATGTTCTTGGAGGAATTGCAAAACTTGAGAGGTTTCCTAGAGACAAAAGTCCTAAAATTTTCAATTTTCCAAAAGCAATCTCATCTTCTCTGTCTTCTCTTCTTCTCCGGTGCCGTGTAATTTCCACCATCATCGCAAAGTTTTGCATGGCTTCCCGGCTAATTGTAAAAAATAAGCAAGTAATAATTGAAGTTTTAAATTTTCCATGAGCCAAAAGTAATAATCAAAGTCTTGAGCATCATCAAAGTAAAGAATACTCGAAACTTTAATTTTTAATAATTGTGCATTGAAATTTCTAAAATATTTTGGGAAACTTTGAGCATGAAAATATAAGGAAAGAAAAAAAAATCATATGTAAAAGTCGAAACAAAATGCTGAAATAACTAAATACAACAACCAAAAATTATTCTGAATCACCTCTGTGTGATAACCTATTTCCTTAATTTGGTATATGTTTTCCTATAAAGTATTAGATGTTCTTTTATAATTAGTTGAGAAGAACATTCGATAAGGTGAAGCATACATTGTGATTGCTTTTAGACTCAGCCTCTACTGGATTGAAGAAGAGCTAAATAAATGTGCTCACTCCGGGGCAAAAAAAAAAAAAAAAAAAGGGAGAAGGTAAATGTGGGACCCATCGTGGACTCCACAATCGTGCAGTGACACCCTTTGGTCCTCATCATCGCAGTAGCGATACATCAGAGGGCAGCGAGCTGTATCAAGAAGAGATCTTCTTCTGGTGGGCCTCCAATCTCATTCTTTAGGTCAGCCGTGTGGGAGTTCTCACGGTTTGACTTAAATTTTCTTTTGAAAAGTTGTTGCTCTCAATTAAATTGTAGGGAGGCAAAAACAATAAACATTTACTAGTGCATTTAAAGATTGACGGTTGCCTCCTAATTATATATTGAAAAACAATTTTAAAAAATTAAAAAGTATTAACACGTCAATTGAAAATGAAATGATAAATAAACGGGTTTTGTAAATGAAGTGATAGCCAACAATATCAAATACAATAAATAATGTTAAATTCTGTGTACGTGCATGAATTGCACAATCATATCACCTGTAAAATTATGCATGAACCATGTCATATATAATGTTAAATTCAATAATTCTGCCTCCCTTGTTTATGAGGTAATAAATTATCAATATACAATTCACGTGTACAATAAAAAATAAATATATGACAAGTGTTACGACCTAGCATGTGGCCATAAGATCAATAGAACGCATTAACATTGAAAATATAAGAAATTTATAATACCACATATGATAAAAAACATAACAAATTTTACAACATTAATTAATATATGTAAATTAAACCATATATTGACGAAAGAAATTCAGGTTTGGATATATCCCTTCCACTCTCCTAATATTTGGCATTAATAACAGAGAGAAAAAAATAAGCTGAAAAGAATCAAAATCAGGAATTAAAAAATATAAAGGAAGAGAATTACAAACAAAGCCAACCCAAGATAAGAATCACTCCTAGATCTATTGACAACTAAGTTTAGGAGAATGACAATACTCATGCCTATAAACTTAGTTGTTAATGGACCTGTGAGTAATTAATTATTGTGAGTATAACATTAAAGTAATTTTTCTTAAAATAAATACCGGTACCAGTAATTACAAAAAAAAAATCATCAAATCAACACCAAAAAAATCTAAGGGAAGCAAAACCTATGAACCAAGCCAAAAACTCTAGAAATGAAATCAACTTTTATTTTTGAAAATGAAAAGTGAAAAAAACGTACAGCATATATCCCAACAAAAATGTGAAATCCTTTTCTTTGAGAAATTAAAGCTCACACCACCAAGCCTAAAATCCCAATGAGAAATTTCAAAAAAAATCCAATAAAAAAGAGAAGAACTTGTAATCCCGCATGCATGCAATGAAAATGTAGAAAAACTCACAAAAAAATTAGAGCTTGTAATATGGGCCAGCTTGTAGTTGTGGGTTGGCCTATGGCAAGTTGCGAGTTTGACGGTGTGGGCTAGCATAACCCTCACCCAGGCAAATTGTATTTCTGCCAACCCAACCCACTAGTAAAACAAATTTTTTTATATTTTTTTAATTTTAAAAATTATAAATTTACTTTTTTTTCATTATTTTTGTGACGACAAAAAACATCATGTTAAACTACCCTGAAAAATACTACCCTAAAATATGTAGCTTTTTATCTTTGGCCACTCAATGCAAAAAAAAAGTTTGGTCAAACGTTAAATATTAATTTTGCTGATTTCAAAAGGTGCTTATTAAGCCATATACATAAATTTTATTTATTTATTTTCTTTTTGATTAACAATAACAGCAGGGTTGAGCTTCTTTTTTCCCCACTTTAATGTACAGCGAGACAATTTTTTTGAATCGATAAAAGCCACTCCCTCCGTTCAAAAATATAAGACATTTTTTGAAGAGTTGGATGTTAAAAAATGTAAGGCATTTTTAATCTTTTCAAATGTAATCATTATCTTTTTTTTTTTAAAGTGTCCCTATTGATAATAATTTTATATTTATTGTAGGGTGTTTAACAAGAATAAATATAAAAAGATAGGGTTAGTTGAAAAGTAGGTAATTACTTTATTGAAGAGTGACATTCGATTAAAAATGCCTTATATTTTTTTTAAGGGGGAGTATATTATTAGAAAAACAGTGAGTGCTGAATCTCATTCTCTAGTTTGTAACATGGAAATAGAAAAACATGTCATAGTCCAAAAAAATAAAAATGACCGATCCGAGGAAACAAACGTATTAACAAAAAAATATCTAAAAATTTAAAATGAGTAGAAAGAAACATACCTAAACTACATTGTAAAGTACCTAGATACCCCACCATCTACAGCGCATGCATGATATTATGTGGAGAAGATCAAGTAAACATTTAAATTAAGTTACTACTCTGTTTTCAAATAAAAAAAATGTCATACAGTTCTTTGTTTTTATTTATAAGCAGATTACATATTTCAAAAGGCATTTATCACATTTTTTCCAATTGTCTATCATAAAATTAATGTTTATTTTTACTAGACAATTTTGTTTCATCTCCCTACTCATTCCATTTTATTTTGTAACCTATATATAGAACTATTAAACTCTGATTCTAACAAAATTCCAGCAAAAGACCTCATTGAAGAGATAGAAAGATTAGCATCAGGTTATTCACCCAAAAAAAAACAAAGAAAAGAAAAAACAAAGAAAGAAAGATTAGCATCAGGTTGTTGGGTAGCGTGTTTTGGGGCCAGGCCCTTCTATCAACAGTTACATTGGGTTCATGGGTTGCAAATTCAGGCCCAATGAGTTTTTTTTTTTAATTTTTTATGTTAATGGGAGAAAAGAACATTGAATCATATTTACAAGTTGTTGATTCAGGTTAAAATAGTTAGCAAAATTGGGGAAAGATTTGTCTGCTTGCTCAAAAAACTGTTAATCTCTGAATATGAAATTAATGTATAATTATATCATAAATATTAATGGATAATATTCTATAAGAAAGCTTATTTAATGCATTTGACCTCTGAATTATATATCAAAGCTATATTTCTGACATGTATGGGTTTTGATATTGTCACGTTGTAACGTTAATTGATTTTTTTGTCTGAATATTTAAATTTTAAATGAATGTTTAGTGATGGGAGACACTTTTGTCCATTGAAAAATTGAGAAATTCAAACTAATCATAGGATTGAAACAAGATGGAAAGGTTGTTATAATGGATCTAAAACACTATCAATGAGTTAACAAACATGATTGTGTTAAGTTTAACAAGCATTTTTTTTTCATGATAAATTTTTATCTAGAGATACATGACATTTCACATCTAAGAAATTCATTTTTGTTTCATAATTCATCCCCTTCCTTATTCCATTTTATTTTGTAAGCTATAAATAGAACTATTAGACTCTGCTTCCACCAAATTTCCAGCAAAGGATCCATAAAAGAAATGGAAACACATAGCTATATTGGGTTCATGGGTTAGTTATTCAGGCCCAAAGATTGTGGGAGAAAAGAAAATAAAGTCTTGTTCACAAGTTGATTTAGGTTAGTTCATAAAATTGGGAAAAGATTTGTCCGCTTGCTCAAAAATGGTTAATGTCTAAATGTGCAATTAATAATATCATTAATATTAATGGATAAAATTTTATAAAAAAGCGTAGTTAATTTGATGCATTTAATTTATGAATTATATATTATTAAATTGATATTTCTGGCATGAAATGGGCTTTGATTTGATCATTTTATAACTTCAATTTTTTTATTTGAAAAGTTTAAATGAATGTTGATGCAAGATACTATTGTTGATTGAAAATTTAAAATAATTTAGCTTAGTCATATTTGAAACAAGATGAAATGGTTTTTATAACGAATCCAACAACACTATCAATGAATTTAACTAACATGGTTGCATTGGTTATATCTAGCAAAAGGAAAATCTCTCCCAATGAAGTAAACAAAGGTTTGAATATCTCTTAGTATCCACATAAGAAATTGATTGTATTAGCCCTAATAAATCAACAAGTTTAATAATGCATCTACTTGTCATTTGGATAATGGAAACTTTGTTGCATCTCTCTTTCAATTAATTCCTTGTTTGCCTCTGTTCTATGAAACTAACAACAGAGCTAAACCTAGAAAAATATCACAAGACTCGTGCTCGTAGGTGTATAAAGCAAATGATGCATGATCAGTGAAGTGATCAAGAGAAGATGTCATCCATGAACTCTCTCATACGAAAATATCTTAAAATGCACACACATTCTCATACGACAAATGTTCATTTCCAAAGCAGAGTCACTCAAACAATTGGTCCAAAGTTCCTTCTGATTCAAATATAAAGGTCACCACCTCATATTGGAATTCAATGAAGTTTTCATGTCTAAACATTTTACAACTTAATCTGCAAAGGAGACACCACACACAAACTTAGCCTTCAATTTCTACATCATCAACCCAAGGAAAACGACATGGACGGTTCCAATCTCCCTCAACCTGCATAATTTCAAAGAATAATAATATATACAAATTAGAAAGTTTATTTTGAGTTATTATTTCTTCTCTATCTAATCAACACTACAGTAGCTAGTATCACTTACTACTTACTTTAAAGCGTTGTGACTGAGGAGCAGAACCAAAATAAGCTTGTCTTGTGAAACATGATTTCCTGAAACAATAAACACATAAATTAAACAAAGTAAGCAACACAACTCCCTAGTCTTTTCAATTTTCATCCCAAATATCTTCTATTATATACGTTATAACTCTGTGCGTGGATGTAGTCAACTATGTTACATTATAGCCCCACATTGAACTAATAAACGATGTTAAGTTTTGCTCCAATCATAGAAACAAAGGGACATTTAATAGGTCACTTTAAGATTGAAGGCAATAGAAAGAGATCTAGAGAGAGAGAGTATAAACAACTATCAGCGTAAATATGGCTATTAATGATTATGTATTACTAAAGTAGAAGCAGGTATTAATTATATACCTGCCAATAGCACTGCAAAATTTCTCATTTATATTAACTCAGCAGGCTGCCTTCTTAAAGGCCTTCTCCATCATGGCTCTAAGATTCTTATCCCCAAAACATCGAATAGTCACATTATCCAGTGCATATATATCAGCATGAGAGAAAACCTTCATCCGGGAGCAACCGTATATTGAAACTTGTTCCAAGGATGGGAATTTCAAATTGTAAGTCCCCGGGTAAAAGCTATCTAGTCTTGGCAGAAGTTCGAGATCCAACTCTTTGAGATTCTCAAATGCTATATCATCTTGATCCGATTCATCTCCTTTAGCCACTATTTCTTGGATCGATTCACAATTCTTTACAGACAACTTTGAGAGTAAAGATAAACTTTTTGCAGTCGAAGATGTGAACAAATATACCAATCCATCACACTTCCTTATAGTCAGACCCTTTAGACTTGTGAAAGACACAGTAGAGGGTGCCAAGTTCATTAAGCAAGGACAATCCTGCACTATCATGGTTTCCAAGTTTCCCAGTAGTGGGGCGTGCTCTAACCCAATGGAATTAAGCTTTGACAGAGAAATCAATTTTAAGGCTTTTAGTTGTGAAAAGAACACATCAAAAAAGCCATCCAGATCAGATCTCTGAGTGGTGCATATCTCTTTGAAGTTACTATGAGACAATCTAAGCTCTTCTAAATGGGGCATTGATTCCTTCAGGAAGAATCTATCTGGAAATTCATTTGAATCATCATTAAAGAATTTCAATTTGAGAAATTTCACTCCTTTAAGAAGCTTTTCCTGGAGCAGGGCTTGCCAAATCTGCATGATGTGTTTCTTGCTGAGTGACAATTGCTTTAGGTTGGGAAGAACCTAGAATCAACAAAATCATTTTTAGAAAATGGCAATAATAAAGGGTAAATTAAAAATATTTAACACCTCAAAATAAGACTTTGCAGTGTAGTTGTAATCTAAAATGCTTGTATTAAGGTGATTGATGTAAATCATGATTATTGAAGATATTTTAAAAATGTGATAATAGCAAAATTACCTTTTCTAATGTGATAGTGGCTTCGGTATCTTTTGCAAAGTGATCCTGACCTAATGGTGGAAAATTCTTCAGCTGACCACAACGGTAGACAACTAATTTTTCTAGCTTAGGCCATTCCAAATTGTCAACTGTTGGGTGGATGCACTTGAGCTCTGGCAATGTATGGAGCTTCAGCATTGTTAAGCCAGCAAAGATAATTGAGTTTGAAGTTGCTACTCCTGAGATTGTTTCATACCAGGCAACAATTTCTACTAACTGTTCACAGTTTTTCACTTTTAGTTCTTGGAGGCTTTCGAGTTTGCCTTGGGGCAACATGGGGCTCAAATCGAATATGGCCTTGGCAGCATTACAATCTCGTACTGTTAAATATTTCAAGTTACAGAGGAAGGGAACCAATTGAGAGGGAATCACGTGGTCAAAGATTGGCAACCATGCACTGTCAGATTCGTCAAGTTACAGAAGCCTCTATTCGGAACAGGCACAACACGCTGCCATATTTCCAGTAGCTCTGGGTGATCACAAAGCTCCAAACATGATATATCTTGTGCACAGTTTGCATGCTGCACAAGCAAAACAATTGAAGCAGTCGAAGTCGACTATTAGTGTATATGATTTCTATGAGGTCCGTTTTGGACATCAACAAATAGCAACAAGACATGAGTGAGATGAGATTCCTTTCTGAGAACTCGAATGACTTGAATAATTATATAATGACTTGAATCATTATATTTTCTCCTTTTTTTAAAAAAAATATATAATTCAGATTAAGGGGGGAAAATAAAGATAAGATTGAAAAGGAAGGTTTCTCTTTGCCAAAAAGGACGGAGTTCTTGAGATTTCCGTCACTTTTTATTTATTTTATCTTTTCGCGTGATCTCTTTAATTTCTTATTTTAAAATCAATTCATGATTATTTTTTTAATTTTTAAAGAACCACATATAATGTTTAAAAGAAAAAGAAAGGCTTATGTACTTATCCTTTTATGAGGTCAAAAAATGTACTTATCCTTGTATATTTAATATAAATAATTCATATGCTTTGGTTTAATTATTGGAAACAAATACCTTAAATTTAAAAAGTTAAGTATATAAGTTTTTTTCTTAAATAAAAACCTAATTATATGACAAAAAATGAATATTTTATGAAAAATCAATAATCTCTTTATCTCCACCTATAATAAGCTTGGCACAACGTAGGTTTGGTTGTAGCCTTGTAGGATTTGCTGGACAAAAAATACATAATTATTGTTTCACATATATATGTCAAAAAAAAATAGTGACTGTGAAGTATTATTTTACTTTGAAAGAAATTCGTGTAACTAAGTAATTCCTTCATAATATTTTATCCTAAATATAAACATACTCTCAAATGGTTAATGTTATTGCTAACTAAAATGATTTGATAAATTCGGCCAAAAAAATGATTTGATGAAAGGAAAATCCACATCCCTTCTACAATAGCTTAATCACAGAAATCTTCATTCTATTTTTAAAATCATTATAAACCTCTCTCAAATCAAAAGTAGCAAGACACAATCCTTCCCTTACTTTTAAAATTGCACTTTCATCCAACCAACCAATTATTGACAGTTAAATCACATCTTTTCGATCAAAATATCATAGTTTAAAAATCATTTATGTTATAAAAAAAACAATCCTTAGGAAGATAGTTTTAACTTCTACTAACCATTTTTAGATTATTTAGATAAGCAAACTTGTTTATTTAGTAAATTTTTAAATTTTAAATTCATAAGTCGGATAAAATAATATTTCAAACAACCTAAGTATGTGAAAAAATTAATGAAAGGAGAATTTAATCTAAGAAAAGATAAATTAGTTGATACCATATATGTTGATTTTATTTTAAATTAGGGTGAGTGAACAATTATATTATGAGGTCAGAATAATAAATTAAAATATTTAACATAATGTTATTAACAATATTAAAATTTACACTAAAGTGTAAATAAAAAAATGCAGAGAGGAAATGTCTGTAATTTTAAAAATAAATAATTCATTAATTTCCCTCAATGTATGAACTTGGCCCAATGTAGACACGGTTGAAAGCTTGCTTCACAAAGCAACTTAGTATTATCTTACCAACAAGAGTTGGCCCAATTGGTAAGCGATTCGGTTCCGTTTAAGGTCTTGAGTTTGAGCCTTGTGTATGCAGAAAATTTTCGCTAGGAGACTCACCCACTAAAGCTCCGGTGAACCGGGTGGGCAACCAAAAAAATAAAAAATTAGTATTATCTTTGGAAGATATGTGTTTGCAAAAAGAAAGTGTTAACAAGCAAATAAGACCTTAAACTCTTGCTCGAAAATCACCCTAGATCCTGAACTCTTAAAATATGCAAAATAAACTTTAAACTTTTAAATTCATAGCAAAATAAATCCTGATCGCTAATTTTTTTTAACATCATTACTGTCTACACGGGTACTGTAATAGTCAGGGTTAACCACGTGGACAGTAACAGTGTTTAAAAGATAACGCTTATGGTTTATTTTGCTATGAATCTAAAAATTTAGAATTTATTTTGCATATTTTAAGCGTTCAGGGTTCAGGATAATTTTCAAGCAATAGTTCAGGGTCTTATTTGTTCATTAACCTAAAAAAAAAAAAGCTTGTTACTATCAAATATTATTCAGCTTTGAAATAAAGTCTTATAATTATCAATTGTTCATCTTTGAATAATGATACATTAGGATCTTATATAATACTTCTCTGAGTTTCATTAGAATTATAATTGAAAATAGTAAATAATTAAAATTTCTTCAATATTGTGGAGCAAAATATCAACCAATTGTCACTTCTCCACTATTGTCTCCCAACTTTCATTGAGATTTAAATGAATATTACACTTGACAAAAAAAAATATTACACAATTTCCCCATTTTCATTTTTAACGTAAAAATTAATCTTTCCTTTATAAGAAAATTTAAATATTCATAAGTCTCAGCTTAATTAAATTTATTTTAACATAAATCTCTATAAATTTACAAAGTAATTACCTTTAATTTAGTTTTAACTTTCATAAATTTTAATTAATTTCAACAATTATATGTAATGTTCATAACCAATATTAGCATTGCACTAACTCAGATAATAGAGGGATGTAAGAAGTCAAGGCTCAAGCCCACCCAATGCATCAACAACTATATGTAATTTTCACCTTTACATCTTATTGAAAGAACAAGCTTCAAATTTATAGTTCATTTAAAGCAAAAACAAAACAAATAAAACAGGTTGTTCTTTCCACCCAAACGTAGGCCGAATTGTCACACAAGATAGATGAGAGAAACTCCAAAAGAAGTTTCCTCTTTTTAATTTTCTTATGTTTTAAATATTGTTCATCTTTTTTTATATCAATTTAATATTTTGTTTTGTTATCTAAGAATATCCAAATCTAATAAGAAGCTAGAACTAATAGCTCTGAAAATAAAAATAAATGTGATTTGTATGTTAATGTGCATCCTGGCTAGTCAATGTTCTGATACTTAAAAACAATATATATATATATATATATATATGTTATTTTAAAGAATAATTTTTAAATTTCCATCCAATCTATAAGCTTGTCCTAAACTTCGGCTCGATTGTATGATTGTTTTGAAGCAATTTCATATTATCTTTGCTGATATTTAAAAAAAAAATAGTTATGATACGCATTATTGGAAAAAATGGAGGTTGCCGAACTTATGTAGTACTCAAGTACTGTTTGTTTGCCAATCAAACTAAGATGCGAGTTCTTTTATCTGTTCCCTCAAACAAACTCGTTATTAGAATGTAATTTACCGTAACAAAGTCAACTAAAAATTATAAAGTGTTTTATATTGTGCGACATATTAAAAAAATTAATTATTGACACCTTAAATTTATATAAAAGGATTTGGGAAACAAAGGTAGTATTTCTGCCAAATGCATAGCAACAAAAAAGGATAAAAGAAAAGAGAAAACACTTGCCTGTGAGGAAAAGAGCAATTTTATGTGGCCATTTAGATCAGGGCCGCAATATTCTGGACCATAACTTGTGTTTTGGGAAGGCTTTGCCGATACTCGTAAATGTCGAGATGCATTTATGGATCCGCAAGAGAAAATTCTCATTCTAGGGCATTCATCAACAGTCACAAGTTTCAAACATGGGAAGTTCAGTGTAGAATTCCCTGAGTGAAAGCTTCCAAGTCTTTGGAGAGAGTCCAAAAACAATACTATGAGCTTCCCAAATGTTAACTCATCTTCATCAGATCCATCATCTTTTTTAGGCACTATTTCTTGTATTGATCCACATTTGCCAATGACAAGCTCTTCAAGTAAAACTAAACTCCTTGCAGTTGACAATGTGAACAAGCAGACCAATCCTTGACGTCCATATACAAACAATTGCCTTAATTTCGAAAAAGATAAAGCAGACGGCACCGTGTTCCTCAAACAAGGACATCTCACCACCCGCAAGGTTTCTAAGTTTTCAAGAATTGGGGAAACCCAGGACTGGTCTAACCCAATGGATTCAAGACACTGCAAAGACATCAGTTCCAATCCCTTGAGTTGTGGAAACAACATTCCCAAATCAAAATCTATATCACGTCTCTGAGAGCTGAAAATTTCTTTGAAGTTACTACAAGCCACTCGAAGATTTTCTAAATTGGGAAGTAATTCCTTTCGGAAAAATTGATATGGAAATCCATCTGAATAATCATGGAAGCATTGCAACACGAGAGATTTCACTTTGCGAAGGAAGTTTGCCTGAAACGGTGCCTGACAATTAATCCTCATGATGTCTTCCTTGTCAAGTGGCAATTGTTCTATGTTGGGAAAACCCTAGGAACAACCAAATTATCATTAGGCTAGAAGGAAAACAATAAATGGTTCTATTACAGAGATTTTCTTATATTTATCAATCACACGAACAATATTTATGGATCAATAAAATTATTATTAGAGTCCTAAAAGCTAACAAGAAGATTCATTTCAGTCATTTCCTCTTATCAGTTCCCTTGAAATATCTCTTCTTAGCATATTTTAATCAAGCGTGTACTATATATGTTCGACGTGTTTCAAATGAAGCACATCCTTTTCAAGTTGATATAAAATTTAAAGTATACTAAAGTGGAAAACATTGAGGAGATTATATATGCATATGCGCATTGAGGAGTTAACATGACAATGAGAAAAGTAATGCCTTGGACAATGGCTTTGAGAGAAAAATAAAAAAGTACTTATGAGTATAGAACCTTTTCAAATGGAACAATGGCTTCCCCATCACTTGGATGATCCTGATCCTCAGTCGGGAAAATCTTCAATTGATCGCAGTGATGCACATCTAATACTTTTAACATTGGCCATTCCAATTTGTTTAGCCATGGACATGTGCATTTGAGCTTTGGCAAACTAAATAGCTCCAAACTTGTTAAGCTGGGAAAGATACCATAGTAGGTAGTTGCTCCACCTAACATTGTTTCATCCCATGCAACAATTTCAACTAACCCCTTACACCATCGCACTTCTAGTATTTCAAGCCTCCCAAGTTTGCCATGGGCCATGGACGCTGGAAACAAGCTCTTGAGGCTGCTGCACCCATTAACATGTAATTGTTGTAGCGATTGGAAGCTGAGAAATTCTTGAGGGTCCTCATTCCAAACATGCTCCAGATCAGGGAGCTGTTCCAAGGTCAATGTTTTCAAGGGAATGGAGAAGAAGGAAGACAAAGATCCCACTTCAAATATTGCCTTTACTGAGCCACAATTCCGTACTTGTAAATCTTCCAAGTTACAAATCAAGCCAAGCAAATGAAAAGGGATCACATTTTTTGATAAGAAATGACAACCATCCACTATCAAAGTCTTCAACTTACTGAACCCTCCATCAGGGACTGGTGTTTCACGTTGCCATATCTCTTGCAGCCCAGGGTAATCTCCAAGCTCCAAATTTTGCACATCACGTAGTGCAACCTGCCCAAGCAAAACAGTTCATACATCCAGACAATTACTTATTGGTTCGTTGAGTTTTATTATGTGCAAATTGAAGATAAATGTGATTCATTGTGGTGGGGGAATTTAGGTACTTGTTCACGCTTTTCGCTTTGGACGTGAGATTTAGCAGAATATTACTTCATCAGCGCCCCTCTTCAACTATATTATTACAAATTAAACTTTAAGCCACAACAAAACAAAAATACATTTCAACTTAAATGCATTTTAACAAGAATATCATTAAGCATATAATGGAAGGTAACAGTAATCCACAACAAAACAAATATCATTTTAGCAGCAGTAATTATTTTCCTTTAATAAAATTTAATTTAAAAAATATATAACAGTTTTTATACGTAACGGTAATTTCAAACAAAATATGCATTAGCATTTAGCATTATGATATTGTAATTTTAACAAAACTTTTGAAATCGACAGGATTTTTTTTTTTTGACACAAAATATGTTTTGTCCATTTTCAAGACAAATTTGTTTCAAATATATTACTAAGCCATCCGACTGCACTTGCAGTAGAACAGCACGTAATGCAAAACCGAATATTTGCTCTTAGAAAGTAGAATCAACAAACACAATGGAAGTTAGAAACCATTTGGAGGGAGGCTAGAATTAGAATCAACAAATTCAAATTACAGCATGCCCCATGTCAAAGTGCAAGTATCGAGGAATGATATTGCAAAATAACTGAGAAATTGATGGATATGTTATGTATAAGATGCAAGTTGGCGGATATATATATATATATGCGAGGGCGGAAGGAATCAGGACTTATTTGATTGTAAAATACTTACGAATTTCATAGGGAGACTTTATCAAATTGCTATAAAACATGTTGTTTCTAATGTTTAATTTGTATGGGATAATAAATTTCAGAATAAGATATCTTGTTTAAGTTTTTAATATGCTTGGAGATAAAAAAAAAAAAGGGTAAAACTTATAATCTTATATAATTAACATACTCTTGTTATATTAAATCAAGACGTGTGTATTTTAATGTATTAATAAAATCATTAACAAGAATTATTTATAGAATCTTAAAAGATCCAAATGTTAAGGCCAAGTATATAAGTTTTTTCTATACATATTTTTTATTTATTTAGTTTCTAAATTGGCTCTTAAGATTTTAATAACTTATAATACACGGGGTGCACGGGTTAGTAAATTCTGTAATAAAATATACATTTAAGTTTTTCATATACACAAGGGTAACGAATTGTAAAATTTTAATTTATGTGAATAAAATATTTAAGAATAAATTAAAGTGTTGTTTACATTTTCAATATGGATTATGATATATATATAAGTAACCCTAAAATAAAACAAGCTGTTTGTATTATTAGCATCCCTCGTGTGAAGCAATTTGTGTTAAAATAATACAAGTTTTTATTTATCTTCTTAACATGCATGGAGAAATAAATTCCAAATTAAATCAATTTGTTTATGCAATATATGGAAGAAAAACATTTAAAACAAAATATGTGTTTTAGATTTTTAATCACGTGTATAACGATTTATACAATTTAGAGAATAAAATTAGTTTTTTTTAATCTAAATGTAACAGGTTAACAAATACTAAAATAAATTAAGCTGTTTTTACATTTTCTGAACAAGATAGTTATTTATTTGTAATTTTGTTATAACTAAAATATACAAAACTCTCCCGATTTTTAAGGTAGTATTATAGAACCACTTTATGTTTAAAAGTTTAAAATTAATCTCCCAAACATTTTTTTTAACCACAGACTCTACTACTGTTATTTTTTAGTTATTTATATTACTAATAAAAGTTACCATATGATACTAAGGAAAAAAACATAACAACGAGTCAAAATTATAAAAATTGAGTTACAATAAAATCAAAACTATAAAAATCAAGTGATTAAATAAGTAGAAATGATGAATTAATTCTTTACGTTTTTAGTATGCACAGGCCACAGGGCATCAATTCTTTTTATAAGCCAAGGTAATAAACTGTAAAATAAGTTGTATGAGAATAAAACAGGAAAGTTTATATTCTTAATATGCATGGGCAACAAATTCTAAAATAATTTATCTAAAAATACAACAAATTTTTATCTGTATTATTAATAAATATGCACGGGTAAAAGATTCTAAAATAAAGTAACTTATTTATTCATTCTCAAAGAAACAAATTTTAAATAAAAAATACATTTTAAATTTAAATTTGTATTGGTATAACCATTCATATTCTACAATTAATTGTTGTCTATATTTGGATATATCTTGTCACAAAATCTAAAATAGAATAAATTGGTTATTTTTATCTTCTAATTTCTAATCACTAAGAACATCTCTACATCTCATATGTTCAAGCTCAACAAACAAGAGGACTATTTGTTGATGTTGATGGTTAAAAAAACTTACTCCCTTCATTATTTTAAATAGTTAAGGGTAAAGGTATAAATTTAGCCATATATTATTTTTATAGGAACATCTAGTAACCTAAACTATCATGTGGTGTGAAATAAATTCTCAATTTTAAAAAACAGAGCATCCAATAACTCGCCATTAATTTGCCTAACAGACATTGTGTGAGGCCCACAAATAAGATGTGATGGTGCAAATTTAGCTACAAATTATTTTTCAAGGAGCATTGGGAAGCCTCTACTATAAAAAAAGGGATTATTCAACACCTTCCCATCAATTTTGTCTAAACACCATTTATTTTCTAAACACCATTTATAAAAAAAGGGATAATATACACAGACCACAGGGCATCAATTTTTTTTTTTAAAATAAGCCAGGGCAACAAATTGTAAAATAAGTTGCATGAGAATAAAACAGAAAAGTTTATATTCTTAACATGCATGGACAACAAATTTTAAAATAATTTATATAAAAATTTAGCCATATATAACTGTTGTATGGTGTGACATTAGGAAAATTATAGTTACTATTTACGGTAACAACAAAAAACATTTTAATACCTTTCATTTATATATAAATAATCAAATAATGTATTGATAAATACAGATACACACACACACATACATCAAATGCATATATTTTCTTTCCCACGTAAAAACCTTTTTCTCCGATGTTAGAAAACTTGCAACTTTTAAACTACAGTATCTTGTTGGAAGGTGGTGATTTAACTTAAAGACAGTAACAGTGATATATATATATAGAGAGAGAGGGGGGGGGTCATTTATTTTATACCCAAATCATGCCCTTCAATCACATATACTCCATTAAGACAAAAGGATATAAACTGGTGGGTTGATGCACACAAACAACCAAAAATTCCATCTATCAAAAATGAAATTGGAGAGTGAATACTGACCTTCTCGTCAAACAATTTCTGCACTGTTGTGTTGAGATCACTATAGCTGTGCCAAGCATCTTCGTCCCTTGAAGCTCTTATTCCTACAAAGTAGGGCGCCCTTACTACTCCTTGAGAGAAACGTTTCATCTTCGGGCATTGTTCTATGGTCGCTTCTCTCAGAGCTGAGAATTCTAAAGTGGCATTCCCCGAATAAAAACACACCAGCCTTGGCAACTGACTCATAGTTATAAATGTAAGCCGTTCAAAAATTATCTCTTCTGGAGTTGACTCACCGCTCCCATGATTCACTATTTGTGCTATTGATGTACAATCAGTTATCTCCATTCTTTGAAGTCGCACCAAACTTTTGGCTACTGAAGATGAGAACAGAGAAACTAACCCATGGCATCCACTCACTGTCAATTCTTCCAAATTGCAAAATGATACCGCAGAAGAAGGCACCAGAATAGTCAAACGATGACAATCCTTTATTTTCAGGACTCTCAGATTCTTGCGAAGTGGGTCCACCCAGGAATTATGTAACCCAATGGAGGAGAGCATCGGCAGGCCCAGCATGTATAACTCCTTCACTTGCGCAAGTATATTGATGACATGATTAATATCTTCAGGTCTTTGAGAGGGAAACATCTCATCCAATGCATCGAAATTTATTATACAAAGAGATTCTAAATTAGGTACCTTCTTAAAGAATTTAAAAGGCAGAGTAGCTACTGCTTCATAGGAATCACCAAAGTTTAGACCCAGGGCTTTCAGCTTGTGAAGCAGGTCATCAAGAAAATTTCCATGTGATAACATCATCATGTCTTTCCCATTGAGGGTTAACACTTCCAACTTTGGAATTACCTATTAGTGAAAATTAAATGGACAAAAAAGAACAAGGATAAGGATTGCTTATATAGATATTTTCTTTTCACAATACGAGAACAAAAAAGTGAAGGAATGATGGAAATGAAGATCAAATTACCTTTTCATCCAGGAAAAGAGGTTGCGTGTTAGTTGTAATATCAGCTTCATACTCACATCCTACTTCTCCACGGTGACTTTGAAAATCTAATGCGAACGTGTCCAGCTTATTACAATCACACACAACTAGCATCTGCAAGCTGGGACATTCCAGAGTAAATCTTCCAGGATAAAAAAACTTGAGGCTTGGTAAACGATACATCATCAAAGTGGTTAAAAAATGGAATTCAAATTTTCTGCTCGCTCCATCAGCTACTGCTTCTTCCTTTCCAAACATTTCTTCCAAGGCAAAACATCGGCCTATATCAAGTTTCTTGAGTCTCATAAAATTTTTTGCCAAAGATGCTGGGAAAAGAGATTTTATTCCCCCACAGTCAGTGACAACTATTTCTTTCAGATTTTGAAAACTTATAGTCCTACAAGGATCTTTACTCCATATACACTTCAGATTCCGCAAGCTCTTTAAAATCATTCTTCTCAAGTGAAAGGGCTTTCCATTTGTTTCTGTCAACCTATTACCATCCATATCAAAAATAACCTCCACTGGACTTGAACTTACTTGCAACTCCTCCAAGTTCTTAAAGTAAGGAAGTAAGTTAGAAGGGAACACTTGTGACAGAAAGGAACAATTCTCCACTATCAATGTTCTTAGATTGTTAAAGCAGTTGTCTGGTGGGGAAACTTCGCCCTGCCATAACTGCTCTAACTCAGGATAACAAGAAAGTCTCAAATGTTGACAAGATGCAAAAAGAACCTGCAAAATCAAATAAATTCAAATGCCATTAGGCTAGTCTAAATAAAGTAATTAGAAAACAATTTTTTCTTGATGAAAAAATCATTTAAATGCCCTGAGGCAAGTCCTTATATTTTGGAAAATAAAATTATAAAAGAGTAAAACTATTTTAAAATTGTAATATTGATAAAAGTTTTAGTAATTAGAAATATTAATAATAAATTTTAACATAATTTTAATCTTTATAAATTTATTTTATTAAATATGGGGATCATTATTTTAAATGATTAAAACTGTAAGGATTGAGTTGTACTAAGTGAAAATTCAGAGATTAAATTACAAGTCAAAACTATAAGGATCAATTTACAGCAAGTCAATTTAAGAACTGAGTTATAATAAAATTAAAACTATAAAGACTAAATGATTGAAGAAGTTGAAATAATGAATTAATTCTTTACATTTTTAATATACACAGACCACAGGGCATCAATTTTTTTTTTTAAAATAAGCCAGGGCAACAAATTGTAAAATAAGTTGCATGAGAATAAAACAGAAAAGTTTATATTCTTAACATGCATGGACAACAAATTTTAAAATAATTTATATAAAAATACAGAAAATTTTTATTTATATTATTAATAAATATGCACGGATAGAATATTCTAAAATAAAGTAAGTTATTTATACAGTCTCAAAGAAACAAATTTTAAAATAAAAAAATACATTTTAAATTTAAATTTGTATTGGTATAACCATTTATAGACTACAATAAAGGTTGTCTATATTTGGATATATCTTGTGACAAAATCTAAAATAGAATAAATTATTTATTTTTATCTTCTAAGTTCTATTCACTAAAAACATATCTTTGCATCACATATGGCCAAGCTCATCAAACAAGAGGAAGGTTTGTTGATGTTGCTAGTTAAAAAAAAAAATTACTCCCTTCATTAATTTAAATATTTAAACATAGCAAAACATGAAATTAATTTATGATTCTAAAAAAAAAGTAAAAAAAAAAAACATGGCTTTTTTAAAACATCTGTAACGAACAAATCATTTTAATACCTTTCGCTTATGTATAGTGTTCAAATCATGTAACAAAATAAAATTTTTAATTTTGACGATGCAAAATTACAGAACATTTTTTCACCGAAAAATAAAATTATTAAGAAAATTAATGAATATTTAAAACTGAAATATATATATATATATATATATCAAATACATGTATCTTTTCACCAAAAACAAATACATGTATTTTCTTTACCACATAAAAAACTATTTTCTCCGATGTTAGAAAACTTGCAAGTTATTTGTACAGTCTCAAAGAAACAAATTTTAAAATAAAAATACATTTTAAATTTAAATTTGTATTGGTATAACCATTTATAGACTACAATAAATTGTTGTCTATATTTGGATATATCTAGTGACAAAATCTGAAATAGAATAAATTGTTTATTTTTATCTTCTAAGTTCTAATCACTAAAGACATATCTGTGCATCACATATGGCCAAGCTCATTAAACAAGAGGAAGATTTGTTGATGTTGCTAGTTAAAAAAAAAAAATTACTCCCTTCATTAATTTAAATATTTAAACATAGCAAAACATGAAATTAATTTATGATTCTAAAAAAAAAGTAAAAAAAAAAACATGGCTTTTTTAAAACATCTGTAACGAACAAATCATTTTAATACCTTTCGCTTATGTATAGTGTTCAAATCATGTAACAAAATAAAATTTTTAATTTTGACGATGCAAAATTACAGAACATTTTTTCACCGAAAAATAAAATTATTAAGAAAATTAATGAATATTTAAAACTGAAATATATATATATATATATATATATCAAATACATGTATTTTTTCACCAAAAACAAATACATGTATTTTCTTTCCCACATAAAAAATATTTTCTCCGATGTTAGAAAACTTGCAAGTTATTTATACAGTCTCAAAGAAACAAATTTTAAAATAAAAATACATTTTAAATTTAAATTTGCATTGGTATAACCATTTATAGACTACAATAAATTGTTGTCTATATTGGGATATATCTTGTGACAAAATCTAAAATAGAATAAATTGTTTATTTTTATCTTCTAAGTTCTAATCACTAAAGACATATCTGTGCATGACATATGGCCAAGCTCATTAAACAAGAGGAAGGTTTGTTGATGTTGCTAGTTAAAAAAAAATTACTCCCTTCATTAATTTAAATATTTAAACATAGCAAAATATGAAATTAATTCATGATTCTAAAAAAAAGTAAAAAAAAAAAACATAGCTTTTTAAAACATCTGTAACGAACAAATCATTTTAATACCTTTCGTTTACATATTAAGTGTTCAAATCATGTAACAAAATAAAATTTTTAATTTTGACGATGCAAAATTATAGAACATTTTTTCACGAAGAAATAAAAGTATTAAGAAAATTAATGAATATTTAAAACTGAAATATATATATATATATATATATCAAATACATGTATATTTTTCACCAAAAACAAATACATGTATTTTCTTTCCCACATGAAAACCATTTTCTCCAATGTCAGAAAACTTGCAAGTTTTAAACTAGAATGTCTCGAAGAAGGTAGTTTAACTTAAAACAGTGGACCCACTTGTTTTATACCCAAATCATGCCCTTCTATCACATATATTCCATTAAGACAAAAGGATCATAAAGTGATATGACAACGCACACAAACCACTAAAAATTCCAACTATCAAAAATGAAGCTAGGGAGTAAATATTTAAATTCCACCTATCATAGAGTGCTAGTCTAAATTTAAATGTCATTAGGTTAGTCTAAATAAAGTAATAGGAAAAATAATTTTTTATCACTGAAAAAAATCTTCCCCTTGACTTGGATAATTGATTATAATATTTTTAAAAACACGGCGATAACTTTGGAAATCACTATATGTGTGTTTTAATGATGAAGTGGGTATGTATTTGTGACAGGGAGTGTGTCGATTGTATATATAAGGGGGGAAGTAACAAAATAGAAGAGCATAGTATATTGCATCAACAAAGAAAAAACAAGAAGTGTATAATATAGAATTTTTATTTAGAAATCAAAATTAATTTTATTAACTTTAATGTACAAGAAATTAGAACATACCATGTCTGAAAAAATCTTTTGGATTGTGGCATTCAAATCACCTTCCCAATACCATTCATCTCCCTCCTCTACTTCTACAATATTGACTTTTTCTAAGTTTGGTGTGCTCACAATTTTCTCGGAAAATTTTTCCAACTTAAGGCAATTGCTCACTATCACCTTTTCAAGACATGGAAAGATGAATGCAACATTATTCTGAGAATTACAAAAACTTGTGAGGTTTCTTAGAGACATCAGTTCTATGCTTTTCAATTTGCCAAAAACAATCTCATCTTCTTTCTTTTATTCATTCTCTCCCACTGTAACAATTTCCTCCATAATTGCACATTGAGCAACCTTCAAAATGGTCAGTTGAACCAAGGATTTTGTAGCTGACAATGTCATTAAATTCCTTAATCTATCACAATTTCTGACTTCAAGATGTGACAAGTGAGTCAATGCTATGGAGGAAGGCATTAAGCTTATCGAATAGTGACATTCCACCATGCATAGCTTCTCAACCCTTTGAAGAATGGCGCCATTTTCGAAGCCTATGTTCAATGGAAGATTTGAAGACTGTAATTTCAAATGCTTAGGCTGTACAACAGTTCCTATTTTCCCAAGGGTAGCATCACTTTCTTCGGGCATCACCTCTTTGATATAAGAATGGTGCAACTCTAGGCTTTCTAGTTCAGAACATCTGTGGAGGAACCAAAAGAGAATTTTGATGTTGCTCAACCCATCAAAGACTAGTCGTCTGATGTTGTGCATTAGATAAACATTATCGCCAACAATGTCTTGCAACCGCTTCATTTCCTTCAGCCCATATATTTGTAAGTCTTTCAAGTTGGGTAACACCTAGAAACCATTTTGAAAATATGCACGAACTTCGGAAGAAGAACACATAAATAAGCAAATAATTAGATTAAGAAAATCTTAGGTTCATACTTTTGTATCTTTGTGCCATCATATTGAGAAAAAGAAAAACAACACGACACAACTCCAAATATCTTATCAATCATGATGTTATTGTACCTTTTCCAAAGATGGGAGAATTGGCTTCACTTCTGAATGTGTTGTTTCCATACAAAATGCTTCCAACTTGTCACAATGACCAAACCCCAAAGAAGTCAATGCTTGGAACTCGATAGCATCTGTTCCCTGATAGAAACACCGTAGTTCTGCTAGATGTGCTAATGCAAGCATGGTTAGCTTAGGAAACTTAAATGTGAAGTTGCTCCTGTTTGATGCATCATCCCTAGCAACAATTTCCTTCATCCCATCACAATACCATATTCGAACACTCTCCAGTTTCATAAGATCACTGGCAACAGAAAATGGAAACAGATTTTCTAGGCTTGGGCAATGATAGACAACAACATGTTGCAGAATTTTAAAGTTCAGAAGTCCTTGAGGATCTTTGCTCCATACATGCTTCAATTTTGGAAGACTTTGTAATGTAACAACTCGCAAGTTTGTTTCATTCCCACCACCTGTTTCTGGTGTAGACTGAAAATTGAATATCTCTTCCACTAACTTGCAATTATTAACCTCCAAGACGTCAAGATTATGAAATCTTCCTACCATGTAAGGAGGAAAAATTGCGACGAGTTTGTGGCAGTCTTCAATTATCACAGATTCCAAACTGACAAAGGACTCCATGCCAGCTTGGGCATGCCATACGGTCTTCAATTCCTCCATGTTGGTGATCTCAATTTTCTTCAATTGAGGAAAGATGTCAACCTCCTACATATGAACCAAAGTAGTCAATGGAACCAAAATGACAAAAGAAAAATAATGCCTATTTTTTGTGCCTAATCAAGGGCCTGTTTGTTTAAAATTAAAAAACAAGTTATTTTTAGATAGTTTAGAGATTTTATAAAAAGAAATTTATTTTGTAAAGGTTTTATAAAAAGTAAACCATATTTTATATTTGGTTATACTAATAAAAAAAAGTAATTATTGGTTAGCTATTTTTCAATTTTATTATATCTTCTTCGATTTTTGTTTTATAAAAACAATATATTATTTAATTATTTTAAAATTTTATTGTATATTTGCATATCACACTTTTTAAAACATTCTCTTTCATCTACCGCATCAAATTAAAGTAATTTTTTAAAAGGAAAAATTAATTATTTAGTCCCTGTAATTTTGACTTTCCTGAATTTTAACTTGTTATAACTCAGTCCTTAAATTTTTGATTCAGTTGTAAATCAGTCCTTAAACTTTACCTTTTTCAATTTAGTTCTTAAAGTTTTAACCTCTTAAATATTGGTCCGTATATTTTGAAAAATTAAATTATAAAGATTCAAATTATTTTAAAATTTATTACTAATATTTTAAATTATTAAACCCTTTTAATCTTTATAATATTATAAATATTAAAATTTTAAAATATTTTTAATCTTTATAATTTTGTTTTTTCAAATATAGGAACCAATATTTAGGAGGTTGAAATTTCAGAGACTAAATTGCAAGAGGCAAAGCGTAGGGATTGATTTCTAACTGAGTCAAAATTTCAAGGACTGAATTATAACGAGTTAAAGTTAAAGGACTGAGTTACGGATCAAAACTACAAGGACCAAATGATTAATTTTTCCTTTTTAAAATAATCAAAAATTTATTTTTTTTTAAATTATGATTATTTTCAAAAGTTTAAACAAACATCATTAAAATTCACAAAATATATTTTTTTTCAAAAAAGAAGTGAATTTTTCATAAAATAAGTTAAAACAAACAAGTGCTAAATCCCATGAAACTGCATACCTGGGGTGCTTCATTCGTGTTAATGTCTTCTGGGTCGAAAATATTCTTCATCATATCACATCCCCTTACAAAAAGGCTTTGTAGTTTCATTAAACTCCCAACCATTGAGAATGAAAACAAATATTTTAAACTGCAACAGCCATTAACATTCAATTTGGTCAAATTTTCAAAAGAATGATTTGGCAAAGGTTGGTTCCCCCACACCTTCTTGATATTGGTTGAGAACAACTCCAAGCTCTCTAGTTTGGGCATGAAAATCTGCAAGATCACAAAAAATTTCAATCTCTAAAGTAACTGATTATGATTTCCACAAATCAAATTTTAAAGTGAATATGATTTAAAATGTACAAATTAAAACACAGAGAAATACAAGTATCAAAAGTTGATAGCATTTAAATACCTTTGAATTAAAGAGTGGAGTACAATCTGAGACAATCTCCATTTGAGAGGTTGAAACTTTCTTGTCATTTGCATAGAAACAAGTTAATTCTGATAAAGATTGCAATGTCAAATACAGTAATTGAGGAAATGAAGTTATATCATCTCCTGTGTCATTGCCAATATTCTCTTGTCTTTCCACAACAACAATATTTTCTAAAGAATCACACTCAGAAACTTCAAGTGTTTCGAGCTTTGTGAGAAGTTTAGCCATGCAAAATGAGAAGAGATATCTCAGTCGGCCACAAATTTTAATCTTCATGGTTTTTAAACTCTGAAAAGAAGGATTTGTAAGTTGACAATTGCATACTTTTTCTAGGCTCTCTAATTTGTACAAACATATTGACTGCAACTCAGGAAAAGCCTTTGCTTGATGTTCCCACTTTGTTGAGTAGATTATAATCTGGATGTCAGAATTTTTTCTGATGGTTAAATGCTTGAGAGTTGGAAATCCTTCCACATTTAACTCATAGGTAACTTTTTGAAGACCATCTACTTCCCCTAAAAACAATTGTTCAATGCTTTTAAATAACCGTTTAATCTCCCTCTTGGAATGAATGTCATTCCCCTTTTTTAGATGCAATGCCAAAATTCTTGAAGCCTTATATTTATAAGGCATTTGAAAATCCTCCAACAAAAACATTTTAGAGTCTCCAATCACGATTTTGTAACTATCCAACTTGTCAAAAGATAAGCTATGAGGCAAAGCTGTGATATCTTGTATGTGAACATGCAGACTTCTCAACTGTTGAAGATTACTCAATTCAGCAAGAGTAGCGGTTTCATTGTCATTTGTTTTTTCGTCAATACCCCATTGGATCAAGTTTCTTTCCATATACAACTCTTCCAAACTTTTCAACTTTGATATTACATTAGATGGAATTACTTTAAGTTTAGTACAGCTACTAATGTCGAGCAATTGTAGCTTGTCCAATTGCCTCAATTCACTTGGCAATAATTTGAACTTAGATCCCAAAAGGCTTAGAATCCTTAAACTCTTCAACTTTCCAATGATGGATATGTTCTCACCTAACACACATTGCTCCAAACAAAGCATTCTAAGCTTTTTTAGGCATTTAATTGAAGAAGGGAAGCTTGATAGATCGATACCAGTAATTATTAATACCCTCAATTCTTCCATTCCTTCAAAAAGTCTGTCCGGTATTTTCACAGAAGGATCCTTACTGTCAAGATGGAAGATTTTGAGTTGAGGGCAATTCATACCTTCCGGAATCTCGTCAATGATATTGCAATAATGCAAAGAGATAGCAGTGTACTTTTCAAATTTATCCTTGTCAGGCCATACATTAAGGTTGACATAGCTCTTGGTAAAAACATTTTCCTCCTTACGTGCTATTGATAAGGCAGCATCACGGATCATATCATGCATAGTAACACAATCAGGGGAATTAGTATCTAGCAACAAGCTTGAGTTTTTCAACTTCTCAATCGATTCGTTTGTTCTAGCTTGAACTTCTTTTATGGTATTGACTCCTTCAAATATGGCTAAACCAATGCAATATTTCACCAAAAACATAATTGATGGCTCCTTACCCAGACGAGCGCAAAGTAAGAAAATAGATTTGAGCATTTCACCTTTTAAGTGATCATAACTTAACTTTGTTGAAAATTCCACAGGTTCTAATTCTTCGATCATTTCTTTTTCCAGTCGCTGCAGAGCATTTTCCCAAGAAACTTTGTTCTTGTTAATCTTTAAAGCTTTTCCAGTAGCAACTATTGCCAAGGGCAAATTCGCACATTTTTGAACAATTTTAGTTGATAACGATTTCAACTCATAATCTTCATTAGTTACTCCAACCACCTTGTTAAACAGCTTCTCTGATTCCTCTTGCTCCATGACATCCACGGTAAAAATTGAATCCTTTACTCCCATTTCACTTGACAACACGTCTCTCCTTCGAGAAGTCAACAAAACCTTATAGCTTTTGGAATCACTTGCCATCCTGTCATCTATCATCTGGTTGGAATCACTTGCCATCCTGTCGTCTATCATCTGGTTGTGACCAACACTAGGCATCTCTCTGACT